TATAAATATGTCTTTCGGCTAAGTTAATCGATTCATCAATATAATTAACAATATAAATACACTTTTTAAATCTGGCTTTGTAAGGCTTTGAATGGCTTTGCTAGGCTTTGTGTAGCTTTGTTAGGCTTTGTGTGGCTTTGTCGGGCTTTGTCAAGCTTCGCAGTATTTAGTATTTAGTAGAACATATCACATACAGTTGCGCATTCATCCAAGTTTTGTTGGACTTGCATGTCTTGAATTTTCACCATAAAAGTGTTTTGACTTTCAATGATGTTTTTGTTTTGTGTACGGTGAGTAATTTCCACCAAAGCCACTTCCCAATGGGCTTAGTGATCCGATAGGATGGCATGGGGTAATTTGGCCGTAAAATATCACAAGGTGTTGTGGGGAAACGCCTCCATGGAACTCTCATTGGGCAACGTTAAGTAAAATTGGTTATTCATAATTCTAGTTCTACTGTCCGAGAGGTCGCTGTAGGTCAAAGGAGTATCTAAAAGAGGACTGGAATTGAAATGGTAACTGTTGGGAGGGTGACTGTCGTTGGACGCAAGATGCTCCCGTTGTTCCCGTTGGATGTGTATTTTAGGGCCGGACTAAGAAGAAGGTAACGAAAACAACTGCTCAGTTAAATGGTCCACAATTTTTTGTCTCCTTCTTGCAAATTTAAATTGGTAATAACGGGCACCGATGACACAGTACACCATACAAATATCTGGCAGAAAAAGAAGATTTCAGTTTTAGGCACACGTTCGCCACACCCACAAAGGTTGCTTTTGAAGATCTTGCACAGAAGAACTGGAGGAATCGATGGTAACTGTAGTAGCTGAAATTGTGTTGAAGGGCATGATTGTCATTTTATAAAGGATGACTTGCGAAGCGTCGATCCAAGAGTCAAAACTCGGCGGATATCCAATCCAATATACTTTGACTCCTTTGACGCGACGTTTTCCCACTTTACGTGTTCTTCAATCGAGAATGCTGTCGATGTCGTACGCTTCGTCTTCGTTTTTAGTAACTAGTTGTAACTCGCGTTAAGTAAAACGCTCCTTTCAACACGTCTCAGTTCATGTCCTCAAATTTATGGACCTCAGGATGACGGCCTAGCGATCGTCCAGTGACGCAAAATAATATGGTGGATTAGTTGGTTATGTGCTCTTTGTCGAAAGTGTGTTTGGTTTTGCCAATGTGCACCCAATCTCCTGCTGACAACGCTTTACCTTTCTTTGGAACAATCACCGTAAGGGACGTACCAAACAAGGGCTCAAAGACGGTCATTTCGTTGTCGGGAGTAACTTCTTTAGGGTACGTCCGATGCTCAGATGGTAAGATTGGTTGTACATTTAAACTAAATGCGGTAAGACTTCGATGTACATGAGAGTGTGGTGATGCGTCAAGTATTTCCACATGCTTTCTTTCAAGGTGCGTTGAAATCATTCCACTATGTTGGCTTTGGTTTGGGGATTCTTGATGGTTAAAAATTGAATATCACGTTTCTCTCTTTTTGGAAAGCTTGATTTAGAAATTCGGTGCCTTTGTCGGTATGCAATCAAAGAGGGTGGTGACGGCGTTATTTTAACACCAATTTGAGGGCTCTAACTCACTCACTTAATGCTCGATTTGAAAGTCATTGGCATGATTGGAAAAGATGTCGATAACACAAAATAAATATTTTTATGCCTCAATTGAAGGTGGCAAAATGAGAGACATCGGCTAAATCAGCTTGCATTTGATAATGGATGCCCGACACATGGGTGCGACTTCCGAAAAATATTCGTCAAATGGGTTTGTGTAATATGTATGTGTCCTGTTCTTATAATCATCGTTTCACTTGAGTTAAAAGGACACTTTTCACTCACGTTTTGGCAGTGCTATGCAATCTGTGAACCTGCAGGATGGGATGAATTGGAGTAAATACTTGCTAACACCTTCTCCAGTTTTAGTAGGTTATCCACTCTTCATAAATGCAATTCTGAATCGAGCGATGGGGTAGTAAAAACGGCTTTTCGTGTCCAATATCCCACGGGAGTAGAAGTGGAGGGTAGTGGTGATGGGATGGCAATGGCCTTCTTTTCTTTTCACTTCTGCTTTCCCTTCTTTCTGTTTGACTTTTGTTGATGAAGGAGAGGACATCATCTCTTTAACCCAAGATTTAAGTTCTTCTCGTTGGGATATATAGGAAAGGGTCAACAAGGACGCTTAAATCTTACTAGGGATGGGAGCTACTGACGGTGTTTTAAAGACTTATCGTGCCTCTTCTTCCTGAAACAGATGGGTTCGAAATCGCAAATAATCGTGAGTCTTGGGTTTTAAATTCATTAGTAAATAGGCGTGTGGGACTTGAGTGGCATCATCGTACGCAACTTGCACTTGTGATTTATCTCTGGGGCCTTTTAACAATACCACGTAATGAGCATCAAGACAGATGGTGCGATAGACTTTACTTAGTTGAAACAAAGTTTAGGTGATGTAAATGACACTGGCAATACGATGATACCCTCTGCGCAAAAACCACAGTTTAACTTCTTTTTCTTCTTCTCCTAACATGTTATCGAAGATGGCCAGATGTGTTTGATTGAGTCAAACACAAACTCGTCGTCTTCTCCAGAAATCCAAACACGATGGAATCACCTTAACTTTCTCGCAGGAGGCTGTACGTTTAAAACACCACATGATACGTTGAGGTGGACGATAGTTCAAATGATGTTTATGTTCGATCAAACGTTTAAAAAGTTCGGTTTGTTATGAACCGCTAGATCCTGCAATTAACATGTTAAAGTGATGGCGAAGATAAAATGCCTCCCAACTGATGCGATCTAAGTTTTTGTCGATGACTTTGAAAATGGATGAAGAGGGAGCAGAGACAGCAGAGGTAGCCATAGTAATATATGGAATGTCACATTTGACACAAAACAGTCAAAACTATATTTTTATACTTTTTCATGGCACGTTCATTGCAATCTTTAAAAGTGACCAACACGAAACACAAAAATACATAAAAGCCAAAGATTAAGAACATAGATAAAAAGACACACCAAAACGATCAAAGTGAAATTTAAACAATTCACTGTACAACAATTGTGTTGACGAAAATGTAATATCCTAGGGATATTCTGTAATGTTGTTAGAGTTTCTACCTTTAGCACAGTTACAAATAAGTCCTCCAGGAATGGCCTTTTGGGAATGTCGATGACGGGCCTGTCCTGAAGGGAGTAGTTTTCCTCGGTGACGGGTTCTTCTCCTGAGACTGTCACCAACACAGGTTTAAAAGTTACTTTTGTCACTGAACATTTGAAATCAGGATTACAAATCTTGGGCATAGTGTGCCAATTATTTTGTCCAAGCCTTGAAGTCCAAACCTTTCCAGTCACGTACATCTTTCCAGTGAGGGTGTAAGTCGCAAGCTACACACACGTCGTCGTATACACCTTCAGAAACCTACAGGTTGACGGATTTTGTTTGCCCGTAGAGGTGGAGAAAAATCGAGATGAAAGCGTTAGGCTATTAACAGAATGAATCTCTTGTGTACTTTTAAAGGAACCATTTCCATGTTTTGAGTGGTAGGTACTGTTCGTAAACAGTCCATAAGGAAACGACTGGTGAACAAAATCCAAGAAAGTCACTAAGACACACAACACACGTCAACTCCAATACAATGGACACAGTCCTTGAAAAATGTAATCCTTCACCGTTTGAATGTTGTCAATGATTTCTTTGCACATAATCTGTTGTATCACGAATGATAAAGGTTGTGGCATTGTAGCCCGTTCTTATACCCTCTTTATTGTCGGAAGTAAAACTTTTTTGCACAGAGCTAATTGTACTCCAGTAGTGAATCCAAATTGTTTAGTAACTAGTTCAAACACCACACACCGCACAGGATTTTCCTCTACAGACAGAGTTTGATAGCTTACAAGACTTTGGCAATCTTCTAACATTTCCTCTGGAATTCGTTGTAGTATGGCCACCTTGTACGTAGAAGGATGAGTAGCAACTAAAGTCTTCTGGTTCTCGTCCAGTTGAACAATGTCTGACTGTTGGAAAGCCTTCACATGAATCAGTCCTCTTATAGCATTTAGGTACCAGTTTTTCAAATGTCGGTGACGAAACGGATGCAAGTGTTCTTTGCGTTACCCTTGTATTTTGACAAACTCTCGGTAAATGTATTCTCTTAGCTCCACAGGCAAACCACGAATGTTCTCTTGTAAAGTATCCATACGCATATCAGTCAGTATTTATACCCATGTTGGGTGTCACTTCTAATTATCCTTTTTTATTCAAAAACTTCTCCTAGATCAAACGTGATGGACGTAGTGAGTAATTTATGGTCACTGCCATTCCAGGAAACGGTCAAGAATGTCATTGAAATCTTTTAATGTAAATGATCTAAAGCGGCATATTAAGAAAAACGCACTTGATCCAAAGAAATATGACAATTGTTTTACTGTTGTCACTTTTCTCTTGTGAATTTCTCGACACAAATGTTTCACAGTCTCAATTGAGATTTTGCTCTTTCAAGTCCCTGCCAAATTTTCTTGTCGATCTTCTCTTGCACATGGGGATCGTGTAATGATAATTCATATTGACGCTAAAGTGGCCCCATTCACTACTTATAACACGTTATTAACTGATGTAACTATTCTGGTCAGTAAGTATAGATATGAACAATAAACTTATCACAGGTATACACACTTCAACAAATCTGAAGTCCTATATACATAAATTATTTCCGGACGCAATGATAAAATCCTGCCTTGGGAGTCTTTAATATATTATTGCAGCTGGTCAAGAGAGAATTGATATAATTTGGTTGCAAACGAAGCAAAGTAGTTTGAATTAAGTATCTTTGATGGGTGGGGATGGGATCAATAACGTAGATGCTGATACATCAAAAATAATTTAAGATAATGGCCATATTATGTACTGTATATCAAACAAACCCAATACAGACTACAAGAGGAGTTGCATTTACACAAAAATTCCGCCATGCGTTGCCTTGGACCGCTAAAGTGGCCTAAGCGGTTAATGCGTCCGCTTCAGATGTGGGAGATCGCGGGTTTGAATCCCGACCGAGTAATTCCAAAGACATATAAAAATGGTACTAGCAGCTGCCTTGCTAGGCGCTCAAGATTAAAACGTTAGTGTTAGAACTGGTCGGCCTGGTGTCATGATAATGTGAATGGGTGGGAAATGATGCTACATTATGTGGCATGTTGCTCCTGTTCTAGGCATAACTAGCTGCCATACTGCAGACATCGTAGCGGTATGAATGAAAAATTATTAAAGTTTCGCTGAAAAATCCAAATCACCACCCCCCACACACACGCATTGTATCCAGATCAAACTTAAAAGGGCCTAAACTCTTACAGACCTAAAGGGCGCACAAGGATTTGTCAATTAGTGTGCACATTTAGATAATGGTTACAATATAATATGCACAAGGTATCAAATGCGACCCATAAAAAAGCTGCAAGACAAGTTGGCTCCACGATCTTCGCTTACACAGCACTGAACTGCATATCACAAAAGAAATTCTGTCAAACAAAGCGATTTTATTGGTGTGCGCAATTTGAAATGCTATAATAACAATGATATGGTTTCCTTGCGATCTGTTCAAAACTGAGGTGAGTTGTGATCACAAGGTTGTCATACTCTGCATCAGGCTCCAAGTTGAAAGGCAATAACTCTAGCACAAATTGCAGAAAAACTGCGATTTGTAGATATTCGCATCTTTAAAAGATCATCCTAAAATTTCCAATACTTCACGGCAATCCAATGAAATCCATGAAACAAGTTGCGTTCGGAAGATTACGTCATACTCTGTACCAGGCTCCAAGTCCGAACGCGGTGATTTGAAGAAATATTCATCTCGGTGTGATTGCCATTTTATTTATTATGTAATATACAGCTACATAACAGCTAATAGTAATAGCACAACACGATTATTGATGCTAAACGATTCGCCAACTGCCCATCTTCATGTAATATTGTAATATTTATTACAATATATTCCCAGCCTCTACAGAGGTACGAGAATGGATATAGCATTAAACGATTATACAGTCTAGGAGTAAATATATCTTGATAGCTTGATGAAACAACCTTAGAAGTTTTTGTTTACCTGCTATATTATTAAAAGTAAAAAATTTAAGCAACAGTAATTTTTTTCTTCATCTTGGTATTGGTCTATATGTAAACACAAAATAAACAATGGATTCTACTCCAAGTTATTTTAAAGAAAATTGCTAGAAATTATGTTGAATTGAAACTATAACCAATTAAAAGGAATATCAACATGTTACATATGATTTTATACGAGTTTCTGTAAAACACTTATTAGAGTTATAAAATGTATTTCTTATTAAACATGACGAGGTTTAATAAAACAAATGTCATCGAACGTTCGAGCATGACTTATACCCAAAGCTGAACAATGATGTGTCAGCGTCCACACAATGTTAAACCGTATGTGTCTGCACGGTCTTTAGTTGGTTCAGGGTCATTTAGACCCGAAACTAATATATAAATCCCAAATGAAATCATCAGCAGCCATATTTCAGGTATGCTGGCAGATTTACCGTTGATTTTATAAAGTGTTAATTTTAAGATACTGTTACAAAACATGACATTCAAAAACAGAACACAAATCAGTATTTCTTTTAGTATTATTTAGATATCCACTTTTGGAAGAGAAATTAAAAAGGTGTGTAGGACTATGTGTTATTTACAAATTGAGATTAGTTACAAAATTAAATAACTTGGTTCAATATTTCATGGCTTCGATGACATAATAACCGACTTACTTTAGAAGCCGCTTTTCGCAAATGTAAGAGTTCATAACAATAAACGATTTACTCGCATTCTTTGCAACTGTAACGAAATTAATCAGCCGAACGAATCGGGTCTTGTTTTCTTTCAACTATTACAAAATTAATAATCCAGGTTACGAGTGGTAATCCATGTCACGAGTGGAACAAAGGCGATTTCCCAGAATTAGCCATAATCCATGTTACGAGTGGTAATCCATGTTATGGGTGGAACAAAAGCAATAGCCTCTTTACAATAATTAAAGGGTATAAACAACATATAACAAAAAGGCAATCCATTCACGAGATTAGCCTTCATTAGGATAGACCCTCTGATCGGAACACGTACATGTACCACGTAATCTCGGGATATAAAAAGGCCTAGCCTATCTGAATCTTCAGTTGTTAGTCCCAGATCAGAGAGGAGTGTCTGTCTATATTTGCAGATGAGAATTTCCTATTAATAACATTTAAAGATTTTTGTAGGAACTTGTAGTTACAATATTTTTGTGAGTTCTCTTTTTATGTACTACTAAAATGTAATGAAATATTTTATTGTTTTTATGTTCATTTGTATGAATTCGCTAGCTTCATAGTATTCTTTAGATAATACAGTATAATGTTCAGTGATCGTTTGCAGGTTGTTATTCTAGATTATATGAAACAAAATATATTCCTTGAAATGATTATAGCATCAGTCGTAATTATTGAATTTTAGGCTTCAAGCAATATTTAATCACTTGTATCGCATTCTAAAATGCAGGGAACTTTACAAGTATATGAAATAGTAGATCAGAGAGAAATTATTCAATATGTATTGTAATATGTATTGTACGCTTAGATGTATCTTTAGAAAATACTTCAATAAAATTTGTTAGTCCCAGATCAGAGAAGAGTGTCTGTCTATATTTGCAGCGATCTCCGCTACGTCTCGTTGCCAGGGCTTCCCCAAAAAACGTAGCTGTATCGACACCATTACGAATGACACCTTGTCTTTAAGAGAGTCCGAATCCCCCCCTTTTCTCTCTATCCTCCCTTCTAGCCACGGTGTAGAACATTGTTACGTGTTTACGAAAACAGATTCTTCATATTCTTCAAAGTTCGTGATAAATAAATATCGTAAAAGTCTATGATAAATTCATTTTCGTAAAAGTATCTAGATTTGTTATAAGTTGATTTTGCCTCAGCCTTGTTTAAAAGCCAGTGATGATGGTTTCATATAGAAGAAATTGCTAGTCTGCGATCGTCCAAATATATCGTCTGCTAGTGATCTTTTTGTAAAGCATCTGGGCCAAACAATATTTTCGGTCAGGACGATTCACCTGGGACGTTTCGCCCCACACACGTTTTTTTTTTTTGGGGGGGGAGAATATCCTACTTGAATAATGATGTTTTCACTGGATTTATAATTATACTTTAATATTGATGACAATATTACAGAGTATATGGAGTAAAACTCAATAATTGTCAAATGTACGATTTTGCTAAAAAGAGTGTCATAAGTCACAATGGAAATAACTTTATACTGACAGTACATGGCTCCAATATAACCAGCCATTGTTCACTAATGATGTTGCTATATCGTTTCAATAGTCCTTAAACTGGTGGATATTAACATAAAGAGATCTTATAATTGTCTTTGTAATTAGAGATCCAATTAAGGGTGATAATTATATCATTTCGTGTAAAAAGAGTATAGGAAGTATTAGAATTATAATAAATCTAGAGTATGTGATATTTGCATTTATGTCTCCTTTTATAGCTTCCTTAGATTTGAGTGATGATTCCTGGTTATAGGGAGCCTGTGTTGGGAAGGTTCTCAGACTGAGTAATTAGACTATTTCTAGAAGAAGAGGCTATTATGAAAAGCACTCAAGAGACTTTATGGAAGCATGGTTCAGATCGAAAAATGAAACCTTAACATATGTAATTCTCGTGATATTTAAATGTGTGGTGATTTAAGATAGGATACATTCTTTATACTGGGTGTTTGTGTCCTGTTTTGTTGTGCATGGTGCTTTATATATCAGTATTGGGCATTGAAAGGCGAATGAGTCATACAAATTTTAAACAAGAAACACAATGTAAGTGTGAAATCAGAGTTTCCTGATATATGGTCAATAGGTGATTAGAGAGAAATCACTCTTGTTTTACTCGTTTAAGAACCTCTCAGTTCACAATGATCGTTGTCTTCAGTTCCATTGAAATAGAGAAAGCAACCAACAGCAAGCCATATGTTGGTTGATTCGTTCAGTTGTGAGACCCCTTGCGTGTAATAGTATCATGCATAAAAGAACTTAACTTTGCACAATTTTATTAGGAAAAGAATCATATTCTGAGCATACATATAGGCGTATCCAGAACTGTCAAAGTTTTATTATATGGGAAGCCTTCATCGTCTAACAAAAAATGAAGTGTCTGTGTGTGTGTGTGTGTGTGAGAGAGAGAGAGAGAGAGAGAGAGAGAGAGAGAGAGAGAGAGAGAGAGAGAGAGAGAGAGAGAGAGAGAGAGAGAGAGAGAGAGAGAGAGAGAGAGAGAGAGAGAGAGAGAGAGAGAGAGAGAGAGAGAGAGTTATAGCAACACTGACTTGTCACCATCTCCAGCAATGATTTGGAAGGGACCGGAAGGAATCAGATTATGCTGACATGCCAGATCATTCATCCTATCATGATATTTGTTTTATCGGTATAACAGAATGGCTAATTGCGTTTTGCATTTATTTTGTAATTCCTTCTCTAAGAGAAAGTGTATCACTCAAATGTCATGTTCAGTTTCATTTTGGTGATGTAATGCTGAAATTGTTGCATTTTACATATGTGGTTCGATTTTATATCTTTGCTCAGATATCTGCTGTTCCAGCCACAAATTTCATATATTCTTGTATTACTCACTCGATCCTGGCAATAACACCGATGTCAATCATCTCTTATATAATATTTACTAGAGCACCAAACAAGTGGGTGAATCATATCACATACCACTCCACACGCCCTCATACATACATACATACATACATACATACATACATACATACATACATACATACATACATACATACATACATACATACATACATACATACATACATACATACATACATACATACATACATACATACATACATACATACATACATACATACATACATACATACATACATACATACACACATACATTTCAATCTGCAAAGTCAGTGAATTTATTTTTCTTCTCATTTTCCATCTACTAATTTTATTGCTATTCAAGAGCACGAACTATAGTGCTGATTTT